AAGGAATTGGGCTTGCTTGACCTATTGCAGTTGCCATGGTTTGAGACCCATTGGCCATTGTGACTCTTGGAAGAGATTGAGAATACGAAATAGTAGTGAAAAGAGATGTGTTACCAAAAATATGATCCGATGCACCTGAATCAATGACCCAAGACTCAGAGGATGAAGATTAAGAGACACAAGTCACGCTATCACCTGTTTGAACAACGGAAGCTATCTCAGAAGATGTCTGCTTACCTGCTTTGTACTGAAGAAACTCAAAATAATCCGCTAAAGAAACCATCCGACTATTCGAAGTATCGGTTCCCATGTCGCTACAATTAATAGTAGTAGGGTTTAACTTGAAATAGTGGAAATTAGTAACTCCTTTGGAAAAACTGAAGAAATCGCTAAGAAAACACTGTTTCTGCGTGAAAAACACTGTTCATGCCAGAAATACTGTAGCAACCGGAAAAAATTCATAGTGGTCAGAATGAAATAAAAACAGTAAGGGTAGGATCGGAATTACCAGACGACCCAACTGTTCTGAAGAAACTTTTTCAAAAAATGGCCGGCAATCCACTTCTGAAATCACTGTTCACATCGGAAAAATATAAAAGTAGTCGGAATTTGGTGTAACCTGGATGGGTAGGCTCAGAATTGCAAGGGGAACAATTTGTCCTGAAGAGTCGTTACCAAACAATGGCCGCAAGGTGGCCCACGCGACGTCAGAACTTCGCCGGAAAAGTTTCTTCCGACAGCTATAGTACCGCCGGAGATTTTCACTGGGGTTTGGTCGCCGGACAGTGACTACTCTTGTGGTAGTGTTGGATTTTGCACAACACTGACCGAGACAAAGCAGAAGCAAAACAACTTTGAAAAATCGCCGGAAAAAAGGGTTCCGGTGACTGATTTCACTTCCCGGAATCGCTGGAATTTATGCACAGTTATAAATCTCTCACGATAGCTCTGATACCATGTGAGAAGGCACGGGAGAAAATATGATATATTGATATTGTGTGTTTAATACAATACAAGAGGTCCTTATTTATAGCTATACTATACAAGGACATACTACTCCTATTCCAATGTGGGGCAAGACTACATTATGTACATATCTAACAGGAACCATAAATATAACACAATTTTAAAATCCAAAACAATAAAATAAAATTATATAACATATGTTAAATTCTAACATAATAAAATAAGTTCTAATACAAGTTAAGATTATGAAACATAAGTTTATAACCTCATTCAACAACGAAATTCTACTTTAAAGGCATCACTCATTATTTCTAATATTAGGAGGTGTTGTTTCAAAAACTAGAATAATAACGCAGTTACGCTAAATGAAGAATATAGAACAAATAAAAAATAAAATATACGAGCAATTACATGGAATCACAAAAAGTAAATGTAGAGAAATAGAAGATAAATAATGTACAAAGAAAAATATATTTTAAAATTAAAACATAAATTAAAATAATGGAAATAAAAAATTATGAAGAAATAAATTTAAAAAAGAAAAAGAAATTAAAAATTAACCTTGTAATTACACAATGTAATTACCACCAATTCTCACCTTTCCCTTGAGAATTGGAGGTGTAATTACACCTCTCCAATTACAACCAATTCCATGCAGCTCAAGTAATTACTTGGCGTGACAAACATGTCAAATTGTGTAATTACATCCAATGACACCAATATCCAACTCCTAGTTGGCTTTCCAAACAACTCCTTAATTTTACTGATAAAATACTCTTATAAGAGTAGCATCCTACTATCTACTGATGTTGTCTTAATGGATGTCTAGCATGTTTCTGTTTTATTGCATTCTGTAAATTATTTGAACGTGAAACATATGCTTATCACTATGTAGATGTTTGTATCCAGCTTATCACTAATTCTTATATCTAGATCAAGTGAAAGTACTGAAGTATCTGAATTGGAAATTTATTTGTGATCAGTATTACGCACCAAAATTTGGCCGTGCACAAACTTGCTAGTATTTCTTTTCTTTCCAACCATTTTGAAAATAAATTTCTAAAACAGTTGTGAGACTAATTATGATACATGGGAGTGAATGTTAGTCCTCTAGGTCCAATATCAACAAGATGAATGTAGTAGAAATGCGGATATTATCTAGTTGTCAATGAGGTCTCAAATTCAAATCCCATCGAAGACAAAAACAATACTAGGCGATTTCTTGGCATTTGCCTAAGCCTTGGTGGGTAAAGTTACCGGGTACCTATGCTGGTAGGAAGTAGCAAGCACCCCGTGATACAATAGAGATGCGTGCAAGCTGACTCGGGCACTCTGTCATCCAAAAAGTAAGAGAAATGAGGATAATAAGATGGATCTGTAGTCATACAAAACTGGAAAAGATTAGAAAACGATAAATCGAACCGATGGTCCAAGTAACACTGAAATGATTTTACTATGTCATGAGGGGTGTTCATGGTTCGATTTGGATCGGTTTTTTCCTAAAAAGAAACCAAACCAAGTAAGTCGATTTTTCAAATATTAGAACCAAACCAAACCAATTAAGTCGGTTTTTCTCGATTCGGTTTATGTCGGTTTTTCGGTTTTTTCGTTTTTTTCTTAAATATAAGACATACACTACCAAACACATATTCCGGCGACTACGTTTTCGATGTAACACTATCAAATCAATTACCCTTTTGAGAAATCTATTATGTACCAAAATATATTGATGATAATTGAATCAAATAGTGATGAATAATTTAAGGACTCAATATTTTTAACACGAAATGGATTCTTACACTAAACAAAGAAAACTACCAATCAAACTAGAATGTAAAGGTAAAGAACTATATTAAAAGTGCAAACTATTAACATTTACCATAAATTTTTTGAAACTTTGTATAACAATATACATATATATAGGTGTAATAATAAATTTGAAATAGCTACTCCTATAGTCGGTTTGGTTCGGTTTTTTTCTGATTAAAACCAAAACCAAACCAAATTTGATCGGTTTTTAAAATTCAAAACCAAAACCAAACCAAACCAAAAAGTATCGGTTTTTTGGTCGGTTTGGTTTGCTTTTCAGTTTGGTTCGGTTTTTCGGGTTTTTATGAACACCCCTCATGCTAAACCTCCATATGCATTAATTTCAAGAATAGCATAATTATGATGATTGATGGTGTGAAAAGGATATGAGGTAGGCAGAAATTACATAAAGAGAAAGTTGTCTCAAAAGAATTTTTTTTCTCGAACCCATGGAAAACTTAGATGTGAATAGGACGGAAGCAAATGATCTATATAGGTGAGATGCCAAATTGTTAGGATTAAAAGTTCATTGTTGTTACGCTTAGATCTGGTCTAGCATTTGCTAGGAGTTTTCTGTTCGGTTAAAGATTTGTTTTTGCACGTAGGAATAAGTTCAAGATTTGGAGAATCTTTATTTTAGAAAACCGTTATTCCATTTTAGAAGACAATCGATAAGTATTGAACGAAATGGGGCAGAATAGAGATGAAAAAGCTACAGATGATTTTATAACCAGTCCAACTAGTTTGGGATCAAGGGGTAGTTGATTGATTGGTCGCCTATAATATCTTCTGAATGGTGGTTTTAGACAGGTTCTTGGTATTCTTGCATAATTTTTCCCTTCATTATAAACTAGGTCATTAGCAACTGTACTGTGTCCTTGATGTCTTTGTTTAATCTGCAGGGATTGTGGTTTGACAGGGACTCTCCTTTTTGGATGTTACCATGCATGACTGATGATCTAGTCAGCTTATTGCATAAAAAAGGTATTGCTAGTATCCAGCAGCTGTTGGATTGTCCTTCAAAATCTTTGCCAGCTATCACTGGGAGTTCAGCTGCCTCGAGACTCTATCAGGTGCTCTAATTAGTTTTAGTAGTTCGTGGTGTTTTGCAAAAATCATCATTACTCTCTCACTGAAAAATTATTGATTTGCTTGTATCCTAAGAATGTTTGTTTTGAACATGCATCGATCATCTATGAGTAGAACTTAGTCCAGAGTGTTATAGAAGAAACATATAGAAGGCATGTTTCAGAAATTAATTTTAACACGTCTATTTGTATGGTTTTTCAGCCTTAGACTGCAGACATAGCTGCTTGATAGGTATAGGCATAACCTTGGGGAAAACTAGAAAGAAAAAGACCTTTTTTAAAAAAAATAATCTCACTGTTTTAGTGTTTTAAACATTATGGATTTACGTTTGGGGTATGTGTTGAAAAGACATGCTGAAGTTGGTCCAAAATGAGGTAGCAGGACAGTTTGGGGTATGTGTTGAAAAGACATGCTGAAATTGGTCCAAAATGAGGTACCAGGACAGTCCATACGCGTGATTTCTTCCGGAATTAAAAAAACAATGAAGCTTGAACTTTTAAACTGGGAAAAGGTTTCAAGCTNTTTGATAAATCACTTAATCTATTTTGACTGGTAAACTAATTTTTCGAAGTTGAAAGAGGGGCTACCTGCATGTGAGTTGCTCTAATTCTTAGTCCATTTAATTCTTTGTAACTACAGTTTTCCTCTGTCAGGCTTCTTGGTTTAGTTCTTAGCTTAGTATGAATGTGTACCAGTAGCTTCCTATTTTGTCAGTCCTTAGCTATAGATCACATTGTGAATATGCATCTCTGTAAATGAGGCTGTATAGTGATATATGGGGAACATTGTCAAGCATATGGAAGGACATTGTTGAATATGTTACCATCTCATCTAATAGTTTAAACTATTAGAGGAAGTACACCTTTATTTACATAATTATGTCTTCGACGCGCTCCTCATGTGCGGGCGTAATTCTTTTTCATGGGTCCAGTACGTGAAAATCCTTTATTGATAATGGATGACGGTGAGATTTGAACCCGAACATCTACCTTCTCTGATACCATGTTGAATTGTGTGACCATCTCTTCTTAAAGCTTTAGCGGTTAGAGAGAGCACTCTTTTATTTACTTAGTTATGTCTTCAATGGAAATGATTGTCTTCAGCAGAACCTTGTTGAAGTAGTATTCTCCACTTGTTGTGCCAACTTGATGCTGAAAGACTTAATTTTGGAACAAAGCCAATTATGTCATTAGTAAAGCAGAAGTCAATGGGGATACTACTGTGAAGAAATTCAAATCTCGAGCTCGAGACTCAGCGCGGAGAAGGGGCCGGAACTGCACACTTTCGTTTTAGAGCTTTTCTTTAGACAGACTCTGTTTTTCCCTCTTGTTATGAGTTCCAAAATTTCCTTACTGCCTCTCACTCGATCCCTGAGAATAATTTCCATGTTTTTTGGGGCCCTCCTGTTGTTTCCTCTCAGGAAATCAAAGGATCTCTTAATTTATGCTAATGAAGTAGACTTTGTACCGATACTCTAATGGTTGCACGTCCTAATGTGTGTGTTTTATTTGTCATAAACTGCTCATGTACTGTGTATGGCGAGTACGGAAAATCTATGCTTGTGGTAACATGTATACTAATTGCAGATCTGATTCACATACTTGTACTGTTTGGACAGGATATGCAGCACTTCCCTCGGATTCAAGTTCGACTAAAGATTCAGAAGAAGGAATCTAATGGTGGCAAGATTTTTACCTTGAACATTAGATTGGAAGATGCGAACACTCAGCGAAGAACAGCAAAAGCTTTTACCCCACGATATCCAAAGGTATTGAGCTTCTGCTTGCTTTGTATCCTGGAGCATCCCAAAGACACTAACATTTTGGTCTTTTCAGGTAAAAGATGAAGCTTGGTGGTTAGTCCTTTGTAATACTTCGGCAAGTGAACTGTATGCTCTGAAGAGAATGTCTTTCTCTGGTCGTTTGCAGACAAACATGGATTTGCCATCCGTTCTGACCAATTTCCAGGTTCATATCCATTGATATAGTATACGTACTTGTTTTGATATTCACTAAACCTGCCAGCTTTCAGTACTCCTGTGAGCTGCTGCTTCCCCCTCTTCTAGTAGCACCAATGTCCCAGTAGCTTAGCAGTCACTTCCTTGTTATATGGCCTTTTGAGAAATTAAACACCTGCCCCCTACCCCCCACACAAACCAAAAAGAAAAGTTGATAGCAGATTAGCTATTAGGAGTTTGAGACCTGTTTGCCTTCTTTATTTTGGGAATCAAGATACAATCCTCCCACCTGCCTACCCCCAGAAAAGGGAAAAATAAACATGTCCCTTTTCTGTCTCTGCTAATAATAGATATAATTCTTCCTCAGTTGAGACATAATATTGGGTATTTTCAATTTCAGGGGATAAAGCTCATTCTAGTATCGGATTGTTATCTTGGGTTTGAGCAAGAATACTCGATCGAAGGATTGGCATAATTTCGGACAAACTATAGCAACTCCATATGGGACCGAGGCACAGTTGTTGTTGCTGCTGCTGTTGTATAGAAACTCCAGATTGAAATGCAATGTTCCCATCAGTCATTAGAGGTATGCTAATGGCTTCTTTAGAAATGAAACATTGTTGAGTATTGCTTTGTAATACCTTTTGAGCAATGGATCCTCATCTTTCTTTCTTTTTTTTCTTTTTTTGGGTTTTGTTTTTTGGTAAACAAAATTTTCATTACCAAGTAAAAACTATGTACAGCTCAAAAAGTCAAAAGTAAAAAAAAAAAGCAGGATTGGAACTAGACTACTTCCCAGGTGCAGCTACTAGCCAACATTCTCCTAATCAGCTACTTCATTTTTGCTTTTCACGTAGATGCAGTTAAACAAATATGCATCAAGATACTGTTGGAAGTCATATGAATCCAACAACTTTTCCAGCACATCCTTTTGTTTTTTTCTAATTACTGTCTAAAATAGTTACTATTCAACAAAGTACACAAGCGAGTTTCAAGTACTGGATAACAGATCTATAGTAGGTCACAGAAGCCCTGGGGGAGTGTACATAAAATACTTGGCAAATACTACATCGGCAAATGACGGGAGAGATGCTGGATATATAAACGACAGAACTCGATATAAGCTGTTTTATTTCATGCGGATATCATATTAAGGTCGGACATCTCTATAACATCATATATATAAAATCATTCACTATAAAAGTTAGGTTTTTCTCGGATTTAATATAAACAATGGGACTCACTAGTTGTTTCCTCACCCACGAAAGTCATTGGTAATCTTCATGTACTTCATTTGTCAAACTCCACACGCTTAAGTGTGATAGTGTGAGACCTAGCTCTTTATTTTGGTATTAATTAACTTCATCAGATTGCAAATTTTAAAGTTTTAGTTCTTTCTGATAAAGCTTTACAGTTTATCAAACTATCAATATTTACTTAAAAGAAAGAAATATAAAATTTCAATGCTTATACTAGGTTGACAAAGCCAAGTTCATTTCATAAGGGAGATAAAACAAAGCCAAGTTCGTTTCATAAACAAGGTTGAGTCACGACTTTAATGGAGTTGATCGAATTAATATTTGTTTGTAGTTATTTATTTTTTGAAATTGAATAAGTCGTGATAATCGTTTTGTTAATATAACAATAAAATATCATCCAATTTAAGTAAATGACAATGCAATTTTTTTTTCTTAATTAACTACCTAATTTTCCTTCCATACATCACGAAAAACTTCGTTATGCGTTGTGCCAACCAAACCCTTCATATCCACCAGTGAGGTTCTTGACAAGTATCAACGTATTAAGGTCAAGTAATGAAAAAGTAACAAGTGCACGACATGAAGTTGAAGGTTTCGTGCTTGAAATATAAAAGTAGAAAAGAAAAAACACTTAGAATGTTTTTAATTGGAGCTCTCTTTAATTTTTCTTCCATACAGGTATACAACTTATAACTTAGAAAACACCTAAACGTTAGCAAGCGTGCCATACACACTGCATTATTGCTTCTTTTTGAACCTTCATTTATAAGGAAATGAATCTTCGATTTTGCAACTTCCGAGCCATTATTATGTCTTTTACAACTTTTGTATTGACTATTCCTATATGTCTATGATTATGCAAATTCTCACGGCATCCAGCTAGCTTGACTAGTGATGGATTTTGGAATTTTGGACAGATGACATACTGTGATCGCGAGTATAGTACATGAACGGAACTAAAAGGTTTGTAGCACACGAAAATCTGAGAATCGCCTTAAATTTCTATTTTATTGTCCTAAAACACCAAAAAACGAGTAACAATCATGGAGATGCATTGACTATTGTTAATTAAGTCGTGTTTTATAGGCCCTAGGAGATTTGGGGCTGGTCGCCAGAATTCATGGAGATCGCATGGACTTTAGCACATGAAAATCTGGGAATCGCCTTGAATTCCTGTTTTATGGCCCTAAAATGCAAAAAAATGAGGAACAATCGCGGTGAAGTGAAGACTATAACTAGGTCATTTTTTATATGCCCGCAAAATTTTAGGAGATTTGGAGTCAGTCGCGCGAATTCATGCCGATAGTGCGGACTATAGCACACGAAAATCTGAGAATCGTCCTAAACTCCTATTTTATGGCCTTAAAATGCCAAAAAACGAGAAATGGTCATGGCGAAGCAATGACTATCATTCTTTAGGTCGGTTTTATGGGTTAGCAAATTCGAGGCTAGTCGCCCGAATTCATACAAATGGCATGGACTAAGCACACGAAAATCTGAGAATCGTCCTAAATACCAATTTTATGGCCCTAAAATGCCAAAAAACAAGGAAAGTCATGGCGAAGCGATAACTACTGTTCATTAGGTTGTTTTTATGGGCCCGTGCAATTTTCGGAGATTGAGCACCGGTCGTTCAAATTCATGGAGATGGCATGGACTGTAGCACAAGAAAACCTGGGAATCGTCTTGAATTATTTTTTTATAGCCCTAAAATGCCAAAAATCGAGGAACGGTCATGGCGAAGTGATAGTTATTGCTCATTAGGTCGTTTTTATGGGCCCGCAAAATTTTAGGAGATTCGGGATCGGTCGCCCGACTTCAGCCAGGTAGTGTGGACTATAGCACACGAAAATTTGGGAATCGTTTTGCATTCCTGTTTTATGGCTCTAAAACACCAAAAACGAGGAACGGTCATGGCAAAATGATGAATATTATTCATTAGGTCGTTTTTATGGGACCGTAATATTTTAGGAGATTCAGGGTCCGCCGCGCGAATTCAAGCCGATAGTGGACTATGGCACACGCAAATTTGGAAATCGTAATGAATTCCTATTTCATGGCCCTAAAATGCCAAAAATGAGGAACGATCACGGCAAAGCGATGATTATTGTTCATCGGGTCATTTTTGAAGGGACCACAAAATTTTCGAAAATTTGGAGCATGTCGACTGAATTCATGCTGATAGTGTGGACTATAGCACACGCAAATCTGGAAATCATCCCGAATTCCTATTTTATGTCCCTAAAATGCAAAAAACCGATGAACTATCATGACAAAGAGATAACTACTAGCCATTAGGTCGTCCTTTATGGGCCTGCAAAATATTAGGAGATTCAGAGTTGTTCGATAGAATTCATACAGATGATGTGGCACACTAGAATATGGGAATCATCCCGAATCCGTATTTTATGGCGCTAAAATGCCAAAAATGAGGAACTATCATGGCGAAGCGATGACTATTGTTCATTATGTCATTTTTTATGGGATCGCAATATTTTAGGAGATTCGGGGCCAGTCGCCTGAATTCAAGCAGATGGCGTGGATCACACGAAAATCTAGATATCGTCTTGAATTCCTATTTTGTGGTCCTAAAACGCAAAAAAATAAGGAGCGGTCATGACAAAGAGATAATTATTTTTCATAACATCATTTTATATGAGACCGCAACATTTTAGGAGATGTTCGAAGATGGTCCCCCGAATCAGGCAAAGGTAGTGGACTATAGCACACGAAAATCTATGAATTGTCTTGAATTCCTGTTTTAGGGCCCTAAAATGCCCAAAAATGAGGAACGACCATAGCAAAGTGATTATTGTTGTCATTTATTGATGGGCCAACAACATTTTAGGAGATTCAAGGCCGGTCGACCGAATTTATGCAGATGGCGTGGACTGCAGCGCACGAAAATCTAGGAATCATCTCGAATTCCTGTTTTATGGCCCTAAAACGCCAAAAATAAGGAATGGTCATGACGAAGCGATGACTATATTTATTAGGTCATTTTTTATAGGCCCGTAAAATTTTAGGAGATTCAGAGCCGGTCGCCCGAATTCATGCAGATGGCGTGGACAATAGCACACAAAAAATTGGGAATCGTCCTGAAATCCTGTTTTATGGCCCTAAAACGCCAAAAATGAGGAACGGCCATAGCAAAACAATGACTATCGTTCATTAGGTCATTTTTTATTGACCTGCAAAATTTTAGGATATTCAAGGCCAGTCCCCCGAATTCAGACAGATAGCGTGGATTGTATATAGCACACGAAAACCTTGGAATTATCCCGAATTTCAGGTTTATGAAGCTAAAACGCCAAAAAACGAGGAACAATCATGGCGAAGCGCTGGCTATTTTCTATTAGGCCGTTTATTATGGGACTGCAATATTTTACAAGAGTCGATCGCCCGAGTTCAAGCAGCTGGAATGGATTATAGCACACGCAAATTTGGAAATCGTCTTGAATTCCTTTTTTCTGGCCCTAAAATGCCCAAAAATACGAAATGGTCAAGCAATGTTGTAACGACCTGACCGGTTATTTTGAGCATTTCCATCTCGTTCAGCTATTTGAAGTCTTGTGTCACGACCCAAACCGAAGGGCCACGACGGGCACCCGGTGCCTTACTCAACCGAGTACCAACATAACATATCTTTATTATTATACTATCTTGAGTAAATGAGCCAGAAACCCGTCATGAGATAACAAGAATAAAACATAAGGGAATACTCAACATATGACGACCCAACATGATATAAAAACTTATACATGTGACATACGGGCCTATAAGGCCGACATGACCATTTGTAAACTCAACACATAGGCCAACAAGGCCATACAAGTATTCATAAACCTGACATCTGTGTACAAGCCTCTAAGAGTACAAAAAATCATAAAGGTCGGGACAGGGCCCGTCATACCAATCAATACATATCCAAAACATACTGACCAAATAGGCAACTCCGGAGCAAGCGGAGTGTACCAACACCTCCGCTGAGCTGATAGCCTACTAGGAAGACTGTCAACCTATCAATCGGGACCTGCGGGCATGAAACGCAGCGTCCCCAGGCAAAAGGGACGTTAGTACAAATAAAGTACCGAGTATGTAAGGCAGGAAAGCATAAACAAGAACATTAATGTAAAGAGAGATAGAGGAGATACAACCTATAACATCTGAGTGCCTCTGGGGGATACTGACATGAAATGCATAATACATATATATACATAAACTTTTAAAAACATACGCCTCTGTGGGCACCATCATCATCATATCGTACCCGGCCTCAAAGAGGAGTCAGTAAAAACGTACCCGACCATTATAAGGCTCGGTAGAATCGTACCCGACCACGTGGAGCTCGGTAAACCCAACTGATCAGTGGTTTCACAATAGGTGTCTTACCCGGCCTACTATACCGCGGCTCGGTAGAGTAAAATAGATGATATATATAATGCATGCTAGACTCATGGAATCACGTTCTAAACCTTTTGGAGTGACTTAAGGTCGTTGCACCTTCGATTAACATTATGGACATCATACCATCAATATGAGCTTCTATAGGATTCAAGGATCATACATACTTGCTTAAAATAACTNAAACCC